CTAGGACACTAAATACAACCAAAAAGACACATATATACCATTAATCGGTGTAAGTACCAAAAAAGATTATCCTAGTTGGCAATTTTTCATCATCAATTACATATATAAAATCAAAAGAAAGAAGCATACTATAGGAATCACAAATTCCTATACCTCAATGCTTTTCCCTTATTCTTTTTTTTGGAATTAGTGCTTGTAAAATATAGAATAGAGTAAGTACATTCACTTAGAAAACAACATAACTTTAAATCATCTACATGCAAGTCAAATTAATTAAGGCATACAAATATGCATTTAAAGTTTGTTCAAGCATATAGCTCAATGTCATGTCACATGATATCATCGATGCATAATCAAACACTCAAACACTCCTTATCTTATCCATATATAGCCAAATGAATTTATAGGCTGACAATTTAATAGGATCGAGTTTGTATGAATAGATGAACCCAAACTTACAATCATGAGGAGCTACCTAGCCAAAGGGCTGTAGTTATTATCTCAAACCATAAATTCTCCCATTCTTAAAATCATTAGGGTGTTACAAGTCTTACCATTCACCCAGCAATGGGGAGGTTAAGGGCAAGGATCTAGGCAACCTATGTTCACATATATTTCTAGGCAAGATTTAGGAAGACCCAACCTTAAAACTATGTCACCAAGGCCACACATGATATTGGTTATATTCCACATGGAAATTAAATACTAACTTGTCTTAAAGTAACCTCCTACCCAAAATATGATCATGCAACATCAATTAAATCATTACCATACATACTAATAATCCTTAGCATAATCAAGCTAGCACAAGCATGTATGTATTATCCCAATTTTTCATATCCAATCATTATTTAAGAATATAATAGCATTTCCAAAATCATTTGTCTTAATTGATGCAAAAAGGCCACACTTGTAATTCATTTTTAAAATAATAAATGAGTTTTATTTGAATAGAAAGCAAAGCATATTCTTCATATTTATAATACCATAACTAATCTAACATGCAATAATACGACATAAAATTACCCAAGTTACCTCTAACATTTGAGAACTCAAAGGTTACCTTTGAAAATTTGCTTCTTGAGCATGCAATGAGCTTAAACAATGTGCCACAATATTAATCTACAAGTAATAATGATCATAATCACTAATCAACTACATAATTACCATTTCCAACTCCTAAACTCATACTTTAACAACCAATTCCTAACAACAAATCCAAACTCACATTCAATGAGTTTATTAACTTTATTTAACTCCTATTAGCTTAAGTAACAACTTATGTGTCATCCAACAATGCAAAATCTTACTAAAAGTGGTTAGGGTTCGTCAAAAACTTTAGATCTAAACTCACAACTTCTTAGATCCTCAAAACTAGGTTTGAAATGTTAAAGAACTCCTATTAGTCCCCGTAGAACTAATGAGTTTGGACTCTTAGCCTTAGGTCCAAATATCTTGCTCTTCCAACTCTATAACCCAGCTAAAATTATGTAGAGGGGAGAGGGAGGGATGAGGAAGACATATCTAGGTGAGAACTGATCTTAAATCACCTTCAAAGTGCCCACAAAGTGATGCCCTTGGGTAGAGACTCAACTCCTCTTATCGCCCTCTCGCTATTTCAGTATTTCTCTATTACTTGACAATGTTTCTTTTGTCATATGCAAAACTTTTTTGTTATATGCAAAAAACTTTCATAGGTACACATTAGGTACAGACACATTGTTACTGGAGGGCCTTATGTGACATATTAACATTAAAGGAACTTGTACTTTAGTTCACAATAAATCATCACTGAAAGACTTTGTGTAACATATTGACAGCGAAGGACCTTGTTCTTTTTTTTTTTAACCATTAAGGGCATTTAAGTCATTTATCTACTATGGCCTTTTTGGCAATAGATGTGTTGGTTAGGTGTTTTTGAGCAATTTTTCCTAAAAACTATTGCCTTGGCCTCGAATGATATTAAACATAACCAAATCTTAGTTACAAGTTTACAACTTCATTCTCCATTTACCAAAATTTGGCATTATAGGCTCTATGCACATTTGGGCCCATTCGTTCTTCTTCTTGGATCACCAACCCCTTTAATTCATCATCAGTTCTTGGAATACGAAGGCAACATCAAGCTTGAAGAAAAGGGTGTAAGGGAAGGGCTATGCTATTACCGTGTCTCGTTGATCCACGAGAAGGTCTCTCATTTTCTGGGTGCAGCTATTCCCAGTGATCCCCGGATAGGGTGCATCAACCTTGTGCTTTCCGATATTACGTAATTTTGTTTTTGTTGTTAGTTGCATCGTGCTCGTGGTCTTTTTATTCAAAACAAAACACAGAGAATGATTTTTTTAGGACTTTTCTGTTTTTTTTTTCATTTTTAAGGTAAAAAAAAAAAAAAAAAATTGTTTGGATGAATAACTTAATTTTAATTGTTTTTAAATCTGTTTTATTTTTAAAATAAAAGATAGAAACATATTAAAGCTATTTTTATTTTATTTTTTATTTTTAAAATACATTATATATTAGTTACTGAAAAATATAGTTGCGTTCGTTATATAAATCATTATTATAAGCCATTACTATTAACCTTTGGGAACTATTGCTATCAAGTAACTTCTTAACTTTAAAATTGTTTTTAGATTAATATAATTAAATAGATTTTTTGTTTTTTTTAAAATAATTTAAAGCTTTACTATAAAACAATTTTTAAATAAAAAAAAATGGACACCAAACATTCAGGCCCTTAGAATCAACTATTGTTTCAGTTCATATTAGCGATAGTTTTGAAAGGCAAATTCCGAGAATAGAATGAATGCAGTAGTAACAGTAGCTCATGGGAACTATTATTTTGTTTCAAGATGTTTCTATTCTATTATTTTAAAAATAAAAATGAGAAAATTTTTAAGAATAATTAAATTTAAAATATTTATTCAGATGAATTTTAATTTTTTCAAAAAAAAAAACCAGAAACCAAACAATCTATTGGATCCTTGAGCACACAGCGTATGGCCTCCTCCAAGAATAGGCTAGGTGGCTGATGGGCCTTTGCGACAAGCCCAATCACGAGCTTTTCACAAAATGTTGTTTTCTTTGTTTTTAGAACGTACAAAAAAAAGAATATGTTATTTTTTGTTATAAAAATATCTTATTATTTTTTTTATAGAAATTTTTTAGAATATTTTAAATATAAAGATAAGGACATGTTATATTTTTTAGTTTAATGTTTGAAATAAAATGATAATTTTATGATAAGAATGTTTTTATTATATCACATTGTCATTAATCATTTAAAGAATTACCAGGTATCTAATTTATACTTTATAAAATACTGTGAATTATATATAACAGATAAAGTCATGAAACACGTACGTCTCGACCATTTTCTCAGCTTTTGACAACAAAACCACTGAAGAATATCATTACACACCATTTTATCTTTTTTAACATAACTCTTGATATTTTCAGGGACTCACTTGTAGGTTCACGGAATAGTTTTCTGGACAAAAAATTTCAACTTGCTGCATGAAGCCATTACGGGAACTGATGCCTTATTTATTCTTTAGCAGTTACAACTATTCCATATATTAAATTTGTGAAAGTAGATTCAAGCTTCTGATTAAACACGAGATGTTTAAATTTTATATAGGAGCACTAGTTTTCTGCTGTGTCAATTTTGATTTCACCTTGTTTTATTTGAATCATTGTGCGCGCACGCGCGCACATATCACAGATTCGCAATCCTTAGTTGGATAAAGAGGCGAGAGTTTCTGATATATGGTTGCTTAGCTTATTTGTAATTTGCTCGGTGAGAATAAATGATATATATCCAGATGGACCAAGCTCGCAAGAGAATAAGTCAAATTCATGAAATAAAAACATGAGTCGTCGAAGAAGAAGTGGTTTGTGCTTGCAAAGGATTGAGTTGTTGATCCAAAAATGCGGGATGACAGGGAATTAATTTGCTGCAGTGAGTCAAAGGAAAAACGTCAGCCATTGATTCCCAAAACAAGATTCCATGCATATCTCAACTAATTAAATAAATCCAAACCATATTTTATCATATTTATACACTCCTCACTTAGCTTCTCACTTCCACTTCTTCACTTCGCTCTCCCCGTCGCCGTCGGCGGTTACCATCTCCCAGAACCCGCTCTCCGGGCTTTCTCGCATTTGTTATAACCAGTCTCTGCTGAACCACACGGGCAAAACCGAAAACAACAACCTCGTACAAGCACCATCATTATTTAGTACCTTCCCTTAGCTTGGCAGAAGGGGGGGGAGAGAGCGAGAGCGAGAGAAGAAAGTCTGGACAGAGCACGCATTTGATAATCAATTCCATTCTCAGTGAACACAGTTCAGCAGCAAGTAAAGCAATATGGTGGCCGGGGATTCTCAGGCGCGCCGGGGGGTGAATTTGAGGCAAAGATCACCTCATCGGTGATCATTTCATGCGTGATGGCGGCGACCGGCGGGCTCATGTTCGGTTACGACGTAGGCATATCGGGTGGTGTGACATCGATGCCGAGTTTTCTGAAAAAGTTTTTTCATGCCGTATACGAAAGAACCATCGCAGAAAAGACGGGCCAAAACAGCAACTACTGCAAATACGACAACCAATACCTCCAGCTCTTCACGTCTTCTCTCTACCTTGCGGCCTTGGTGGCCACCATGTTCGCCGGCAGCATCAACCGTAAGGTCGGCCGCAAGCTCACCATGTTTATGGCGGCGTCATCTTCATCGTGGGAGCAGTCATCAACGCTGCCGCCATCAACATCGAAATGCTCATCGTCGGCAGGATCCTTCTTGGGATTGGAGTCGGCTTCGGCAACCAAGCCGTCCCTGTCTTCCTCTCCGAGATCGCACCCACCAGAATTCGGGGAGCCCTCAACATCCTTTTCCAGCTCAACGTCACCATTGGCATTCTCATTGCAAATCTTATCAATTGGTTCACCGCCAAGTATGCCCTGTCTATATTCATGTTACTCACACGCAGAGTGATATAATAAGCCAATCAATCACACACACGTACACATTGATAATGAAGGGAGGGAATTTACGGGTGTTATGATGCAGGATCAAAGGAGGATACGGGTGGAGGATATCGTTGGGCTTGGCGGCAGTACCCGCACTGATGCTAACTCTGGGAGCGATGATGGTGGATGACACACCAAACAGTCTGATAGAGAGGGGAAAGCTGGAAAAAGGGAAGGCGGTGCTGAAAAAAATTCGCGGGGTGGAGAACGTGGATCCGGAGTACAACGAGCTGGTGGAGGCTAGCAATAAAGCTAAACAGATAAAGAACCCCTGGAGCAAACTCTTGAAGCGTAAGAACCGCCCCATGCCGGTCATTTCCCTCTTATTGCAGGTGTTCCAACAGTTCACGGGGATCAACGCCATCATGTTCTACGCACCCGTGCTGTTCAGCACCTTGGGATTCGAGAGCGACGCTTCTCTGTACTCGGCTGTCATCACGGGGTTGGTGAACGTGCTGTGTACCCTAGTGTCTGTGTCCTGGTGGACAAGCTCGGACGTAGAGTGTTACTTCTGGAGGCCTGCGCCCAGATGTTGCTATCTCAGGTGGCCGTGGCCATACTGCTCGGTCTGAAGGTTTCGGATCACTCCGACAAGTTATCAAGTGGGTTGGCCATACTGGTGGTGGTGCTCTTGTGCGCCTTCGTCGGAGCCTTCGCCTGGTCGTGGGGCCCGCTGGGGTGGCTCATTCCCAGCGAGATATTCCCTCTGGAGACCAGGTCAGCCGGGCAGAGCGTCACGGTGTTCGCTAACATGCTCTTCACTTTCATAATAGCGCAGTCCTTCTTATCCATGCTCTGCACCATGAAGTTCGCCATCTTCTTGTTCTTCTCGGCCTGGATCGTGGTCATGACGCTGTTCACCATATTCTTCATCCCGGAGACTAAGAACATACCCATCGAAGAGATGACTGAAAGGGTGTGGAGCCAGCACTGGTTCTGGAAGTCGTATGAGGACGGCGACTGATCCTGCACCAGTCAATAATTACCTTCCTCCTGCTTTCAGATGATAATTAATTAGTTTCTGCTAGGTGTTTTCATGCATAGAGGTTTTATTTGTGATCGACTTTCGTTATGAGTTTACCCGAAATTTAAAAAAAAAAAAACAAAAGGAATCGTTTTGTCGCGTTCTTTTTCTTCGTCACATTTCGCATTTCTGCTCTCCTCTTGCGTGTTTCGCTGTTCATGGAAACCAGACAAGTTTGGTACCTTTCTTTTAGTTTGTTTATTTTGACTCACTGGATAATTCCATTTCATCATGCGAAGTCAAGATATCCAATTCAAATAATGAATGAAAAATATGGTGAATTTAAACCCTAAACCCTAAACTATAGTAATAAATAATAAATAAATGAAACATATAATAAGGTGTCGCGCGAACTTTTTTCTGTGAAGCGTAATAAACAATTTGTAAAAATAATACAATATTTGTTGTTATGTCAAATCTCATCGTCTGGTTGTAGACCCGTAGCGTGTCTAATTGATGTTGTTCCAGAAAATAGTTTAACGTAGAATATGTAACATACGCAATCACCTGTATGTGCATCTCTGACCCTTTAATTTTTTGTTTTCAGCCGCTTATTTGGGAACGTGATTTGTCGTTTGAATTGCTTTTCTCATTGCTTTTGCCTTTTGGCGATTGATGTTCGAAGATGGATGGAGGGGCACCTCATATTCATTGGATGTTTGCCATCCATCGCATTCACTATTGTTAAATTATATGGCGGGATCCATTTATTAATATATCTATGTGTGTATGCATATATAACATCCAAGTGACATTATATTTATTATTATCAACATAGACCAACGACCTTTTATCAATTTATTGAATATATAAATTTTATAATGCTACCAATCTGATCTCTTTAAGCTTATTTAATCTATGTATAGTAAATTGCATCATGGCACTGTTTATCTATGGTTGAATGAACAGTGATGTTCATGTGAAACCCACAATAAAATTGGAAAAATAGGTATGGGATCTACAGTAAAGATGCTTTTAGGTATGAGACTCGTGAAAAAAATAATATGTATGAGATTTTTTTTTTTTTTTGTAAATGTAAGAGACTTATCATTTGTTGCTTGTATTTCATTAACGTATAAAATAATTAATTAAATATAACCTATAAATTTTAAAATAAATTATAAAATAAAATATTTTATTATTTAAGTCAATCAACTTTTTCAGTTTGCTTTTATATATGAGCAAATTTTGATCAATTTTTACAGTTTAAAAAAATAATTAATCATAATAATTATATATATAATTTAAAAATTTGAATTAAAATGTATTTGTGATTACTATTTTATTAAAAATATAAATAGAGAATTTATAATAAAATTATAAATTTAATTTTCACATATTATAAAAATTTAACTCTACAAATTAAATTTAAAATGGGTTATCCGACAATTACTTTAAATAATAGATGTTTCAATCACCATTTAAATAAAAAAATATTTAAATTGTCAACAAAAACATTTGATGTGAGTTTAAAAAAAGAAGCATTGGTTCTATAAATATAGTTGTTGAATGAGTAGATTTAAATCATGTAGCAAATTCAAATTCGAGATAAATCACAATAGTTTTATAGTGATCCAACTATTTAAAAAATTAAATTTTATTTTAAAATATTAAAGTTGCTTTACATTCATTTTTGACATTGATATTGACAATTAATATAGTATTGACGTACATGATATATAAAATATTATATATAAAAAAACTAAATCACTGAATCCAACTAATTTTATATATACAATATAATTTATCACCATGAACAAAATGAATATAGCATTCTAAAAGCACCATAGCCCGTGTGAAAATCTAGTCATATATATTGTAAAGTGCATATCATAGATCGTTCATCTATAATTGGACGAACAGTATTATGGTTTTTTCTTTTTTCTTTTCTTTTATTTTTGTATAATAAGAGTTTACACAAAACTTATAATAAGAATTGAAAAAAATGAGTGTGAAACCTATAGTAAAAAATGCTTGCAAATATAAGACTCATAAAAAAATAATATGTATGAAATCAATTTTTTTTTGGGTAAGTGTAGGAGATTTATTATTTGTTACTTGTATTTTGTATATGGATAAGATAATTAATTGTATATAATATACAAATTTAAATAATAAATTATAAAATGGAATATTTTATTATTTAAATCAATCAATTTATTCCCGTTTGCTTTTATATATAAGTAAATTTTAATCAATTTACATGGTTTAAAAAATTAGTTAATCCTAGTGATAATGTCTGAAACTAAAAAGTTTAGATTAAGACTTGCTTGTGATTAACCTTTTACTTTTTTTTTCTAATTTAGTGATACTATCAGTAATTAAGAAAAGATGTCATAAATCCATTTTGAAAATTATTTTTTTGCTTAGAAAAATAACAACAAACGATATGAAAAAATTTTTATATCTCAAAATCGATGAAATATATAGTAAAATTTGTTCATAAATTATGATAGAACTATAGTTCTTTTGTGAGATACATCAGATTTGGATTTAATAATTAAAATAAATCTTATCACTTAATGAGTGTCACATACAGTATGATAATAATTGTTCAATTTAACTGAATGGTTGTAAGATATTTTCATATAAGACTATCTAATTTTTTTTATCATAAAAGTAGTTGTAAATGATAAATATCAAAACATGTAATAAAAATGTAAATTGAAAACTTATAATAAAATTATTAATTAATGTTCACAAATTATAAAAAGTCAAGTCTACTTAAGAGGCTAAATTATTATTGAAGTAAATTTTATCATTCCTTTTTAAATATGCATTAGGTAATAAATTATAAAGTAGAATGAGTTATAATCTACATTGAGTGATAGTATTTTAACATAATTTTTGTTTATATATATTATAATTTAATTTTTAAATTTTAAATTTTAATAACAAAATGTAAGGGGAATAAATTTTGTTTATAAAATATGTCACCCATGTTTTTAATATATACAAAATGACAAGTTATATAATAAAAATAAGTTGATGAAAAGGTGAACAATTATATAATAAAAAAATGTGTGAATGTAAAAATTATTTTCAGAAAAACTATTTTAAATTGTGCTCAATAATACTCCAATTTGAGTTAGTTAAATAACCATATAAAAAATTGTGTTATTTTCATTTTTTATATGCACAAGGATAAGAAATATTTAAATAAAATAAGTGATCATTTATATTTACAAGCAATAAATTTTTAAATAGAATTTTTTGTTAGATTTTAATTTATGTAAGGTCACATATAAAAAATGTTTATATTTTTTAAAGAAAACATAACTTTGAGTCCCTGCAATAGGGACCTAAAATATAAAAAAAATACAGAGATATAAAGTTATATTTTTTTCTTTTTTTATATGCACATGATGTCATACAATTTAAAAAATATATATAAAATAAGATATATGTTCTAGAATGTTTTTTATTATTATCTGTTTTAAAATTTTAATTTTCATGGATATAACAATTCATAGGTTAAAATAAATTTTTATCTATATTTGATTATCTATGGGATAATAAATTTTATGATAAAACAAATTATTGTTTATTTATATTTTTTAATCACAAATATGCTAAGGAAATAAAAGTATGTAATTAAATTTTATTATTATAGTTATTAATCTATAACTACGTGTACAATTTTATTTCACACTTTCAATAAACTATTATTTTTATAAAATTAAAAAATTAATATTTACTCATAATTTAGCTTCTATTAA